CGTCTATATGTATGCACATGTATATACCTATATATGTATAGACACATATATCTAAGTCCTGAGATATAAAAATATATGCCTATATATATATATATATATATATATATATATATATAAACTCACACACATAATAAAAACCTGTATCTTACAAAATGTGTCATTTAAACATGCGAAAGAGAAGAGGAAAAAGAGCAAAGAAACTGTGTTCATCCCAGAGGTCCAGTTGTTGCAGGGCTGGAATGCAGAGCATTCACCCCCTTCAGCCTCATGTACCTTGGAAAGCAGCAGTGAGCACGTATCTCCCAACAAGGTAACATGTGATGTTTCAGACTTTAGTAGGCACAGTAAGAATTTCTACAGATTACAAGCAACTGTGTAAAATTTGAGTCTCTTTTCGTTGTCATACTCATGCATTTTTTTCCCTACCTTTACTGATGCTCATATTCAGTAACACAACAAAGGATGTTTGCATGATAATTGCATACATGTCAGCTTTATCTGCCAAAATGTATGCAATACTTGAGCTGTTGACTTGCAGGTCTTTCATAAACATCAGCTTCTACTTATAATACATGATGATAATGTACATTTATAGATAAATTCTGCAAGTTAAACCCAAACATACAATGCATTTTGTCCTGTAAATCTCAAATCTGTTTGCACTGAAAGTTTTTGGAAGCTTTCTGCAGGTGTGAACAGATTTGAAGGTTAAAAAAACAGTTGATAACATGGTAGCTTCCAGAATCATACATCTAAGCGCTTACACTAGCTGTCATTTTGATAATGAAAGACGCATAAAAGCCCCACAATAAACTGTTTATGCACCTTGCAATGCAACTCTCAAAGTGAGGTAGTAAATGTATTTAATTTCAAACAAAAGTTATAATCTTTCATCTTTGCGAAAGCAAGCACTATCAGAAATTCCATGTTGCAAGTGAAGAATAGTAACAAGCAAATGAAAAATTAGATATAATATGAACAAAACTCTTCAATATTTCCCCTCCTAAGCATTAGTTTGTAGTTTTCTACCAAAATAACAAAATAAATGGAAGTCAAGCTCAAAATGCATTCAAGTTAGGCTTTCCAGTATAGAGTAGGTATGCAAATTCTAAATAAAATCCCTGTCCATTTTCATCTTCCATCAAACTGTAAAAATACCGAAAAGTATTTTAACATTAAGTAAGCTTACATTCTGTAAAATAATCTCTTAAGAGACAAGTGCATAAGCAAACAGTCCAATATTGGAACTCCTCAGAGATAAAACAATGGACAGAAGGTAGGAAGGAGATGTTTTGGAACACATCTGAACTGCAATAATTACTTGTACGTGGTTAATCAAGAATGCAACTGTTGAGCAAGCCTTCCTCACACTTCATAATTCAGAACAGACTTTCTGTCACATTGATTGCCCAGTTTCAAAATTCATGAAAAAACAATTAGTCTGTATTAGTTATAGGAACAAATGTTTTGCCATGTAAAAACAAAGCCATTTGTTATGCTGACAGATGGAAATGAGTCTCCCAGTTCTGAATGGATACTTTCTTTCTTTTCTCATTTCAGTACTCAGAACAGGGAAAGATCCATTCTTAACAAAATGTTAGATTGAATCATTCAGAGGACAAATGGTCGTACCTCTGAGACCCTCAGAGGCCACCAGTCTGTGAATAATACGTACTCGGCCTGAAGGGACCTGTATCAAGTCCTTGCAAGATTCAAAAACAAAAATTTTCTCTTTGCAGGCAGCTTTCTTGTCTGTGGAAAAAAATGTACCAGCATGGCACCAGAGATGAGTTTGTGCTCCAAGACAAATTTGCTCAAGGCTAGAAACATTCTAGCTTTCTCTTCTTAACTGCTCAATGAATCATTACCCAAGAAAAAATGTCCCAACAAACCTCATTTGTATATAACATCAAACACCGTGTATGTTTTGAATGACCATGTGTAGAATCATGTTTATTTAAAATACTGAAGTAACTCTAAAACTTATGGTAAATGGAAGCCATTTAGTGACATATTATCACTGGGTATTAATCTAATCACTACACAAAGACTGATTTAAAGAAATCATAAGTCTATCTTGGAAACATCACAGAAAAAAAATATTTTCTTTTCTATATATCTTATTATCTTTTTTCTTCCCCAGAGAAAATTCATGGAGTTATTTTATACTCCTTTAGTCTTATGGGCCCATCAGACTGCAATAGGTCACTGTCTTGTAAAAAGAGCAGAAGAGAGAGAGAGGAGGAGAGAAGAGAGAGAAAGAATAAAAACCTAATTACCAGAAGCTTTTAGTTTAGAAGCCTAATAACCAATTCCAGAAAGATTTAATAGAAGTTTTAAAAAATTAACATATCATGACTCCCCAGTTTCTTCTCCTTATCCAAGAAACTTGGTTATAAATATACAAGAGTGTCTCTGGAGATTAGCTAGATCCCTGCAATGGCTCCCAACTGAGCTTTCTTCAGAACTGTCCCATCAAATGTAAATTTTACAGAATGTGGAAAAAAAAAAGTTTTTCTCACTTTTCAGTAGCACCTGTCTGGCTGTTAGCACCATTTTACAGCCAAAAATGAAATTACATGTTGTCTTATATCAACATAAATACCTTCCTAATGCAGGTCATCTGTTGCCCTATGTCACTGTTTGCTTTCACAGTTTATCACAGTGAGTTCCAACCACCCAAAAACTGCTTTCTGTCGTCTGAGCTGGAGCTGAGCCATGCTTTCTCAACTGTAGCTGTGGCTGCAGAATTCACCACCAAAAGAGTTGGGAAAAAAAATAAAAAAAAAAAATTCTTTGGCTGTGCTTGAGGAACACATTACAGTTCACAATCTTCGAACTAATCTGACTTACCCACCTGTCTCTCTTGCTGAGAACTGCATATGCTCTTAACTGTAAATGGACTGCAAGATGTAGTGTTTTACTCATTACTGATTTTTTTCATGATGTAGGTCTTTATAACTAACTGCTTACGCGTATTTCGATTGTGATTTAATTATTAAAACTGTTAAATGCTTTCCAGCAAGTATCTTACACACTAGCACTATTTCTCCAGTTAATATTTTAAGAGTATTGTATTCTGAAGACAAGTATATAAATAGGCAAAAAACCCCACTTCATCAGCTGAAGAGTGATCAGCTATCAACTCCCAAAAGTCAAAATCCTTGCAGCCTCAAATTCATTCTTCATTGAGAGACCAGTAGCATATTATGTCCATATGAAGGAATTCAGGGGTAAGAAAGTTATAGTGTTTCCTGACAACCGTGAGAGTTTTGTCTGATGAATTATTCAGAGATGTCAGTCTCTTTTTAGATACCTTAATTTCAGAAGTTTGATTTGTCTCGAGCATCACAACGTTTCTGTTTTGATCTTGGAATATTGTCAAAGGGGGAAAGCCAGATAACATAGAAGAATAGAATCTGCTAGAAATCATCACAACCGGAAGAGAACTGAGAAAGAATAAAATTAAAATACAAAGTATCTGAACTCATATGAAATGAAAGATGAGATTATGGCAGAAATGCATTATGAAGCATTCAGAAAAATTATGGACTCAGAGATTTTTTGCATCAAACTCTCTTTCTTTGAAAGGCATTAGATAAATTCTATATCCAGAACACATAATACATTTCTGTTCATTAAAAAACCCACATTAGCTCAGATTTATCCCTAATGTTAATAAACATTAATGAATTTATTCTGATGATCAATGGAGTAATTTAAAACTTATCTATTTTAAATTACCAGGAAAAAACTGTTTTCACCTGGAACACACATACATTTCATTCAGAAGTGAAAAAGACAAGGGAAAAAATTATACTGAAGGATTACAACCCCCTGATGATACAACCTCCAGACTCCAGGAATTATAGCCCATTCTTTCCCCAGCATACAGCATTGGCCTGATTTCCTCCCAGAACTCACTCATAATATTAATAGATTATTTAAACAATCACTAAAAAAATCTGTGAAAATTAACTATCACTTTAAAGAAAACCAAAATTTAACTGACTATAAATGTATAAACGTTCAATATGTGCACAAAACAGAACTTCTGACTTACAGAGCTTGCAAATTACAAAATTATCATTGCAAGTCTTATCTGAGATAGCTTTGTAGATACTGCAAATATAAAATGAACTTAATTTGCATGCCATTTTTAGAACTGGAACATGTCAATATTATTGTAAAAAGTCAAAATATGTGACAACTCCTACTAGCACTACTAGACCAACGTGAAATGACTACCTGTGTAAGCGTTTCTAGGAGGAATCACTGCTATGGGCATATACATATTTACTGCAAATACTGAGTAAACCTTGAAAGCTTCCTGTTAATGTAAATATGAATTGAAGAGTTAAAAGTGTTACTATAAAGACAGATCTGAAAGACTATGACCAGAGAAGTGTGATTATTAGAAAAAAAATAATATGCTTTAGAGGAGGTAAAATGTTTGTTAGTTTCTTCATATAAGATGAAACATTTTTTTCACGTTTCATAATTGTTTAAGGAAAACATCAAAGTAGTCATAATGAGAAAACATTGAAAGTCTAAACTGTTTGTCTTGACAGTTACTTTCCTCTCTTTCCAAACCACATCACTTACACAATAAACGAATTCTTATTACTTGGTCACAGTTAAGTTACCAGTTATAAAAGCTAACCAATTAAATACCATTTCATTTTAGCTTTGATAAAATGTTTTAGCAAACAAATGCTAATAACAGTGCCTGGTAATATATTCTGCTAAATGCTAAACATAATCAAGATTCTCCAGACTCAGATTTTTAACTATCAAAAAACTTGGGGCAGAATTCTAATTCCGAATGCTTATGGATGAATTTTGGTTTGGGGAGGTGGGTGGACAGGACTGTTTCCTTGTTTTGTTTTACTTGAGATAAAATACCTATCCGTATGTGTGTAAACACACAAGAAAAACACTAAGCAAAATTCCACTACTAACACCAGGGGGTATCCTGCCACAGCCAGATTATTATAGTCTAGTCTCAGTGGGTAACTGCAGAGACCACTGTTGTGCAAATACTTCCTCACATCATCGGCTTCAGTCAATTCTATCTTTATTGAATAATACATGTCCTCAGATGATATAAAATTCCACCGCCCTGATCTGCCTCAGTGAAATTACACTCATATCTAAAAAGACAGACATTTTTGCAAGAGCAAGGTCTTAAATTCCATTCTTCTGCAAAACATTAAGAACTGTAAAGTTTGGCAAGAAAGTATCCATAATGTTAAATAAATGTTGTCGCACAAAGTGGTAATTTCATAACTAATGCTATATATTAAGAGGCCTGAGTGAATAAAAAGAAGTATACACAGTATGTAATTCATATCAGTTACAAATAGCATTTGAAAAAATAGCAACAAAACTTGGGATAAAGGAAATCAGATTGAAATGTAGGAATACTTAGCAAATTTCCTTTTTTTCTCTGTATTTCACAAAGTTTATGTGCCTCTGCTGTTATTTAAATATATATATGCATATTGCATATATTTTCTACAGACGTTACAATTCAGAACAGTATTTTAAGAGAGGAAAGGAGTTAAATATATTCTCATATAAATAAATTCAAAGCTATCAGGAAAACTGTAAGGGAAAAGGCTGCTCACTTTCATACAAAAATATACTATTCACTCCACCTAATCAGTGTATGCTCAGAGGCAATCACAGGTACACAAGAGTAATTTTCTATACCTGAGAAGAAGTGTGCCTTGAAGCCTTTTTTCGACACTGTGTTGTCAGATCTGAACTCAATTCGCATGTTGTTGTACTGTGAGGTGATAACTTCAGGCACTTCTGTACCACAGAATTTACCGTGTAGTTTAGAATCAGAAGAAAGGCCACTACGAATCTCCACATAATCATATTTGCAAACCTAAGAATAGAAAGAACAATTATTTTTTTTTACTAACCCAAAGAAAAGCATGAAGTTGTTTACAAAATACAAGAACTCTGGTTGGTATATGCTGTTTAATAATAGATAGATAATAGATATCTTTTGTCACTTTTTCCCCACTCTGAAAACATTTGTAAATGCTTACAAACATTTGCTGATTTTGTGTAAGAATATTTTAAGGCCACTGAGGCATAGCTATAGGATATATTACATTCAGGATTATATTTTGATAGATACTACCCTGTGTTTAGTATCTAAATTTCAAGATGCTTAGTAGCATTTCCATTTAATATAAAAAGTAAAAATACCAGTGACATTAGACTAAAATCTAGAAATATTCACCCTGAAAATTATACCTATTTTTGTGCTATAAACTACATACTCAAAACCTACAAGCCTTCTACTGCATGATCTCTCAGATTTTAAAAAAAATATTAATTTTCACTTAGAAACTCACAAGATAAGTTTTTACCATAATGTATTTAAGACATTCATTTATTTACAGATACCTAAACCTGCACTAGTAAAACCATACAACTTTCCTTAACAGTAGCATAGCTATAATTGGGAAGGCTGATGCATGTCATTTCCATTAAAAGGTTAAAAATAAAGTAAAATAACATAATAAAAAAGTCTTATGCAAGGCCTACTACTCATGATAATACTGTCAAGGCATAATCCCTTGGTCAACCTAAAGCCTTCCACCCGAAAACTTCTAAGCTTCTTATGCTCAACTATCAATCATTTAATCAAAAATGTCCCAGTTGTCTGAAATTAATAGCTTAAGAGAAAACATTGTTCAGGAGGATTCATACAGAGCTTAGATTGTCCATCAAATCCAAGTTGTATTTGATAAATCACAATTTCTAGTCAAAAAAGAAACGTCAGGGAAATGGAAGGGAACTACAGAAAAGGAAGTTTTGGCCTTTGTTGCTCTCTTTCCCTATGAAATATTAAATGATTGTCAATGTATCCAATTGTTTTTAATACAATACATTCTAGATGCAGATTAAATTTTCATTGTTACTGGAACAATTTTCATATGTTGCAAAGTGACTAATTCAGTTGAAACTACTTTTATACAACATAAATAACACAAGACTGAGTTACTGTCACATGCTGATTTATATTAATTATGAGATAAATTCATATTAATGTATGGGATTTTCAAATATAGCTCACAACATTAATAAATCCCAGCAATTTCAGCAATACATCAGTGGTGAATTTCGATGGTTTCATAGCTTCAAATTAGAAATTAAGTGGAAATTCAGATAGGTCTAACTTCCTTCATACTACACGATATTAAAAAAAATTTCAAGTTAATTTAAACTGTAAAATGTGAATGTACATTTTTTAAAATGTAATATTGGAAAAGATATTAAACTCAGTATTAAAACTGTAGAAAAAAAAAAAAGAGCATTTTTTAAATGTATACATTTCATGTCTGTGCTCAGAAAATATATTAGAATGTTCCAGATATTATATGTTTCTTCTGATTTTTACAGGTACCATTCTTAATGGTACTATTTAATAGAATAAAGCTGAGATTTAGTAGCACAGAAGAGGTTCAACGAAAGTTTTGAATGTTGAAAAACTTTATATATTTTTCATATCTGCTTAAGTTATGTGTCTTGTATGACCTTAGAAAACTGATTTAACTTCATTAAACCCTAGATTTCTTCCTTGCAAATCTGTCTTAAATGGAAAAATGTTTTCTGATTTGTTCAAATGGTAATTAAATTTTAATTCTTTGGGATTTGTAAATTTTTATTACACCTTTTACAGTTCTTGTAATAATGATAACAGGACATGACTGTAACATATAATTCATTAAAATATTAAATTTCATGGACTTTAGAACACACCTCAAATTGTTAAAAATAAATAAATAAATAAATAAAATCTCACATTGCTGCCTCTGCAAATAATTTTAAAATATTTTGAAGAAACTATGCCCAGGTTGTTTTTTTAGTTACAAATAAAACTTCAGCTTTTCCCACTTCAGATCTCATGCCCACAACATGGCCCATCCTCATATCAAATATGTTGCTACAAATTTGTTTAGTCAGAAATAATGTCCTGGGATTTGGGTTCTTAAGAATATGTATGAACAATATCCAGATAAACTCGATGGCTACAGCACATTATGGCTAGAGCGTGGCATACCATATTCAGTGGTACGACAGAACATGTAATTCTCATGACAGAGCAGTGGCTAGGAAGCAGAATAGAGGGTGAAAAGTTGTTGAAACACATATTTTACTGATTTGCACCCAAAAACCACTGCAACCCCCACCACTTCGAAGCTACAGGGATCACCCCTTTCCACATGGAGGGCTCTGCCCTGTCCCTTACCCGTACTTGGGGTCAAGATCCCTCGTGCCTCTGGGGGCTTCTCAGGTCAAACACTGCTGCTCTTCTGTTGTGCCTTATTTCTGGTACTGTCCCTTTTAAAATATTCTCCCTATGAGATACATTTGATTTAAATGCTCCTTTAACCACATCTTGTGTGTATTCTTTGTAGTCATAGTCTGTAAAGATGATTTGGTTTCTCCCAATTTTCTTCCCTTGAATTCTTTCCAATATGTCTCATCTATTTGCTCTGTTTTACTTTGTTGATAAAAAAAAGTCAGCTGAGACTCAGCAGAGAACATTTCTTTTAAATTTCTTGTAATACACATACATTTAGATGATATGTAAAAGAGTTATTCTCTCCATGTTTGTTTTGAAAGAATCCAGAAACATTCCCCAAAGAAAAACAAGAATATCTATGGTTATTGTCAGTGCACAAAAGGTCAGCAAGGGTTTTATAAGACAATATCTATTTCTGAACACTTGTGAAACTGTTTAGCGTGTAACAGATTGTGCAGTTCTTTGTTCACGGTTACTTACTTCATTCCCTTCTAGCTCAAAAAACTCAAACTTCATTGAAATTCGGTATTGCGTCGGGGCAACCACCTGCCACACACAGTTTTTGTTTGGAGGATACTCTTTGGGCCACCCTGGTGTGGTTATAGTCCCATTTAGCTTTGTCAGGAGTCCTCCGCAAGCAGCTGTAAAATTAAAAGGGAAAGCATCATTCCTTCACTGAAACCATGTTTTACTATAAACAGAAGCACACTGAGAAGATTCAGTCCTTTCATTACTTATACTGCTGTAATGTCCAGACAGACTAATCAGAATCTTGGTTTATCACGCTTGGTGCAAACAAAGAGAAAGAGACAGCCCCTATCTTGAACAGCTTGCAGGTTTGTGGACAGAGATAAGTTTCAGGACTGCACAAGGCGTTATCATATTCATTCTTTTCCCTTCCCTCCAGAGACTCTGGTTATTCTCTCACAGCCTTTCCCATGCAAGTCCTCTGACCTCACCGCCCTCCCCAGGACCTTGACCACCCGTCTTCTGACAGACAGACTACTTAAGATGCGCTTTGCATTTCCTCAGCTTCTCTCCTTGATTACTGATCCAGAATCGACCCTACCTGTCTCATACAGCTGTATATGTCTACATAACCTACTAGATAGGGTCACTTCTTTGGGACAGCAGTCACGTACTCTTTTAGTCACAATTCCTTTTGCTAAAGTATGGACTTTCAATTAATAGAGAAAATATCTATTATTTTCAAATATATGCCAAATAGTCACCTCCACGCAACAGAACAATACTGTACTATGTTTTCGAACGCAGTTCAGATAGCAGAGGATAAATACATTAATCTTTTCCATCTGTGGAAATTTAAAATAAAAAAAATAAAAAGGAAAGTAATTGGATTTGCAGTGGTTCTCGATTGCACTCTGCTGCATTGATACCATTACAGCACTGTGACAACACTGGAAATCGTCCACAAATCTCTAAAGAGCTGATGAGAGAAGAAGCTCCAACTTCTTCCATCTGCTCTGTGCTAATGTTAAATGCTTTACAAACTGGCTATTCCCATCTAGTTGATGGTCTCACCCACTACATCTACTTCATCTACCACACCTGAGAGAACTCTCCAGTTCCTGTGTCAGGGCTCATTTGGCCAACCCAGACACATACCAGTCTTCTTCCTGACACCTGGCTTTCTATGCAGGAGACTCCTTGGTATACACGTAAAGGTAACCTGACCACGGTGGAAGGACTAAAACGAGGCACAGGTTTAGAGACTGCACTCATGTGACATAAGTTGCACCCCCAAACAATCCAGTCTGGGGCAGGACAACTATTGCTATTTTTCTGCTTTTCAACATCAATCCATTTTTTTCCTTGAAGCAATGGTGGGAAATGTGGGAAAACTGAAAAAAAAAAAGCTTTCCAATATGCTTCCAGCAGGGGAGATTTGGATTAAATGACCATGAAGTAATTTTCTGTGCATGTCAACAATACAGTGGAGCATTGGGCAGAATTTCTGAGTTTGAGGCTTCTATTCTGGCATTATATGTGAATTATTACAGTTAAGTCACTCCTCAAATTCCAAAATTATAACTAGGATGTAATGCTCACTGTGATTACACAGTGATTTTAATTCAGCAGTCCCAGGTAGTAGCTACATACAGTGAGTGCTATGTCATGTGGAACAAACACATATTCACTTTGAGGGATAGCTCAGGGCTTTTGCTCCACACTGTACTGCACTACTTTGAGCGTCTTCTCCTTTTGCCAAGTTGCTTATCTGTTTGGGTGCTAGGGAATTATTCCTTATTTTTTGGAGGCACATGGAAGAGTTTTCTGAAAGACTGGTAATCTTCCCTAATATTCTGACTTGGATGGGCAGTCAGACTAAACCAAATTCCTTACATAAATTTGGGCTGATAATCAAAGGCTCAGAGATCAAACCTCTGTCTTCGTGACTCCACATAGATTAACCTTACCTTCTGCATACTGCCTAATATGCAGACATCTAAATAAATTGTTTTTCCAATGTTCTCACTATTACAGTTGGGGCGGGGATGGTGAACAACTGAAAAAACAACAGTTTCATGAGAGCCACAATCTAACATGCCTGTAATCTAGGACTATCACCACCTCACATAAACACACACATCCCCCAAACAAACAAAAGCAACCCCACAGAACTAAAGGCAAAAGAAAAAAAAGTGCAAAGAAACTAAGCAAAACTACCCCAAATTGTGGCAAATCATGAATTAAAGCCAGGAAATTGGAAAAAAAAAGAGAGACTAGTGAATCTCGTTGGAAGAAAACCATAACTCCTAGCACTCCAATTTTCAAACTCCATTCACTACTCAAAGAAGCAGATGAACCGAGATAAGAATAATTTCTGCCATCCCTGAATTTATTGGTGTTTACGAATAAAAACCAGACAATAATTGGTGTGTAATGATCAAGAGCTTTTGCTTCTTTCCTTTGATATGAAGTATGTATAGAATGCAAAGGCTTATCTCAGTCCAATCCTACATTTACAGACTTCTACTTCTCAGGTTTTTATTTCTTGAAATGATTATTTGAACATACTTTGCTTGCCCTGAAAAGTAGGATTTGTTTCCAGCAAGAAAAGTCCACAATCTGACCATGAGTGAGGAGGATTTCCCTGAGCTTTGAGCTAGAATAAAGGATCTTGCTCTCCAAACCTGCCAGCTTCCCAGTCACACCCCAGTCAGAAGTGGTCAGAGAGATTGTTAAATAATCTGATTCTGAGACAGTGGCACAATGCTCTGCTGATAACTGTCTCCTTATGTATGGTGGGAGACTTTGCTTTAATGAGCGCGAATAATGTAATAAGTGGTTTGGGAAGGTACGAAGTCCTGCTTTGCATTGTTCCTGATCAACTAACAGCAAAACTTGTAAAGTTAAATTAGTGACATACATTGAATGAACATGACTGCTGAGGACAGACATTACTCTAGCACTACAACTTAAAAGGGAGCACTGGTTTTCCAGGTTGGGTTCGACAGATCTCACACTGCTAGGACAGAGCATATGAGAGGTGTAGCGTTTCATTGAAGCAATGGCACCCTGCGAGCTTTAAGAGCCCATAACACAGCAACGCACTGTACCTTCACAACTCTTTTTGTCAGGACCAAGTTCATAGCCAGGATCACAGGCGCACTGGTAACTGCCCAGAGTATTTACACAGCGCTGCTCACAGCCACCATTGTCAGGTTTGGCACATTCATCTTCCTCTGCCAAGACAGGGAAGAATGCAAAAACGTGTTAAATAATTACCTTCCTCAGCTGTAATTGCTGGATCAATATTAACCCAGAAAGCTCTATGCATGCCATTACAAAGTGCACTACATAATACACTGTGGTTGCTGACTAGAGGATTTTCAAATGCTAGGGAAGCCTGCAATGGAGAAAATAAAAATTTGTCCTTTGTGGGTTTGGTGTTTTTTTTACAACAATACTACTGACAGCTGCAGACTTAATTTATAAGCACTTTGTGTGCAGCATACCATAATTTAGGCAGCCATAATCTAAAGGTTGCATAAAGTATTGAAAGAAAAAGGGAAAATCCACAGCAGGGTCACTTGAAGGGCACTTTATCTCCCACAGAATCAATTTGTGTATTATCCTGAATTCATACTCAAAACCAGATTAACAGAATCCTCAAATCCCAGGTTTTCATTCTACTGATATTAAAGGGAACAAGATGCATCAGGGATGAGGGAGGGAAAGAAATAACGTATTATCTCTACGAGTTCTGAAGTATACCCACGAGATTCGGTGTTAAAATATTCCTTAGATGCTGAAATATTGTTTCCTTACACTAGGACAAGTAATTTCTTAGGAATAAAACAGAGCTCTGACTTACATGTCTACAGCCTTCAAGGTTATAATTGTCTATAATACAATGAAAACTAACAGGGTAAGAAAAGCCCGAGCTTGTGGCTTTTCCAAAGAGCCAAAAGGTTCTTCTGGTGGTGTGACCTGTATTTCAGGTGTCATCATGGCCATGCCACTGCTAGTGGCTTTCACTGTGCCATGGGCAGCACAGGGTAGGAATTACACACTCCCCATGCATCAAATGCTGCAGGTATAGCTGCAGTTGTATCACACACACACACACACACACACACACACACACACACACACACCCCAAAACTGAAGGAAGACTGTGAAGCCATTGGTCACTATGATTTCTCAGCTGTTGTTTTTTTTCTTGCTCACAGAAAATAATAAATTCATAAAGCAGCCTAATGCAGCAAACAAATTAGGAAAACCACATATTTAGACAAAGAAAAAAACCTTAACAGAAAAGACCCATTTGTGATTATACTATTTAACTTTATACTTGCTAACACAATGTCAAAAAAGCCATTTTTTACAAGATTAAATATGTTTCAAAGGTGTTTCACAACTAAGTTGATTATTTGAACCTGAAGAGATAGGAAGTTGAACTGAATAAGTTCCTTTATTTTTTAACATATTTTAAAAGGAGATTCAAATACCTCTGCTGTTTTGTTTTGGTAAAATTGTATGCTCAGGTAAATATTACATTGGAGACAGTACAGAACTTGTATTAGTAAAAATAGGTTGAGAAGTATTTTTAATACCCTGTCATATTTTTTCTAGTACAAAAAAAAAGTGATAAGCAGTTCACAATTCCCAATATTTGCTTTAAAAGTTACCTTTAAAAAAGTTAGCTGCAAACCCTGCTTTGTTAACAGTTCCATCAGAAACAAACTTCATCCACAGGGTATTAGAGGTAGATCTAATGTCTTCTGGCTTGTCATAGCCACAAAAGTGACCGATTAAAGGACTGTTCTCATTTGCACCATCTCGAATTTCCAAGTAGTCATATGCACAGTTATCATGTCTTTCAATCTGTAAAAAAATATTTTTAAAATGACATATTTGAACTTGACCGTAAATATCAATCAGATAATAAAAAGAATAGAAAATTTTCAAAGTTAAGGTTAGGGTTATCTCTTTAGGGTTCAGACATCAGGAAGCTGAACAAGCATCACTGAACTGTTTTTAACTATACTTGTTTTGTGGAAGAAAAAATTCTTGAGATGTTACACAGGACACAACAGCCTAACTGGAAAAAATTAACTAAAAAAACCATGCTCACCTCTTTTACCTAATGCTCTGTCCAACTCCTACTCTGAGCTCAAGTAAAATCCTCTCTTCTCATGCACATGCAAGTAAACAATACTAATGGTTCAACAACTAAACAGGTCAGAAATATTAATTGGTTTTGAAATATTAAAGATCTCAATTTTGATTAATATGAATAAGAGTTTTAAACATTAACAACCTGTGCTATTTCAGGTGATGATCAATATTCCATTTGCTTCCTTTATCCTCAACACAGTGCAAAATTTTGCATATGTCACTACCCACTGATATTTCCAGGTAACTAAAAACTTACAGTGCATTAAGAGTTTGGGCATCTAGAAATAGATCCAAACACACTACTAAAATTCTTAGCTCTTAAGTAGCCAATAGAAGAGATGACAAAAAAAGCACTGCCATTATTTTTCTGAGCGGATGTATCTGGTTTCTGTTGCACGATTCCTGATTTCAAGTGTCTTTTGAATTTTTGGGTCAATCTTTGCCATACTGGTGGAGAAACCTACTGAAACCAGAAAAAATGAAAACGTCCCTCTCATTTCAATGTCCTGCAAGATGACATCAAACACAGACAAATATGTGAGTGGACATGTGTGAATTTCTACTTCAGTAGCAAGCCTGGTGCTCTTTACATAATAGTATTTGCAGTCAGTCAGAGTGGAAATTGCACCAAAGAAGAAAGCAGCAGCAGCCCAAACATGATCCTATCTAAATCCTAGATAATTTATGATGCCTGTCTTTATTGAGAGAGTATCTTTCCCAATGGAATTAAAAACCCTCTTGATCTGGGTCATTTTACTACGGTATTACTTCATGTTGCTCAAGCAATATAGCATCTTAGTTATAAAAGAATTAACTAAATCCAAGCATTCAAAAATAATTCCTCTAAGAAAACTATTGTTCAACTAAGTGGCTGAATTTTGAGGTAGGTTTAGGGGCGGGGGGGCCCACACTCAGGGAGAAAGGGTTGGAGGAACCTCAAATTTAATTCAGCACATCCAAATTCTGTTCAAATGACAAAGAAGTCAAAACCAAGCCAAACCCAAAAAAATTCACATCTTACCTCTGGACGGTTTTCTTGCACATAACGTGCACAGTTGCTAGTACTCTGCTCTAGTTGTGCATTATGACCAACACTAAGCTCAGTAACCACTGCAGACTAAGGAGATTTCATTTAGCACATTGGGATTTCTACTTCTTTTATGTAAGAGGGAAAATTGGGGGAAGGGGCTGTTTGATTTTAGGTCATTTGAATAGCATCAAAATATGGCACTTATGCATAAAATTTTTCTGTCTTCTTTGCAACTTCCCAATTCTTCAACGATTTACATAAGTAATTTTCTCCCACTCACTTCTCTGGCACAATCCATATTGCCATTTAATGTAATTTCTCATCTGTTTGCTCAGGAACTACCTTGGGCCAGAGTTTGGGAAATGGGTGAGAGAAGTCATGAAGATCTAGGATGCAACCACCCATTGCTGACTTCAATGGCAGTTCTGTGTTTGCAACTTACGTGGTCAGGCATATGTCTACCTGAGGACTGAGAAGTTTTTGACTGTGTAATACTGATTCCAAATTTTCATTAATCTAAATAATAAAGTTTAAACACGTGACATCACATTCCAATTTGAAATAAAGTCTGTCTTGTTATCTCAGCAAAAATCATACTGCACTCTGATGTAGAAAGAAATGACCTGGTTCAAAGCTCACTAATATCAATGAAGGAATTGTGTATTTTGCTGACATGTGTCTGTGGTCATTCTACTACTCAAGACTTTTAATTGACATCTTTTTTTCCATGTTTCCATGTTCTATGGGGCAAAATGGAAATTATCATTTTTCACAGGCCAAGTGCAGCTCCGAGTTAACGTATACCAAATTTCTATTGAGGTGAACTGTTAGTTTCTTTTATGAGAATTACTCTATTTTTGGCAGAAGACAACAGCTAAAAATACATTTTGTATAGCAGTAAGTTGCTAAACTTCCTAAGACTATAAAAGTCTACCAATTTACAAAGTGCTATTGATTTTCAATAAAACAATTTGAAAGATGGCCATTCTACCATATTAATTTATTTTTACTATACGACTACTGCCAGTAATATTATTATTATCAGAATTATTATATTAAGGGATTAAATCATTACACCTACATATAAACTAACACATAAATATTGTGGTTTTGAGAAATGATAACTGGTGTTAAGGCACTTGGTAACCAATGAAAAATAACTAGTATAAAATGTGCTTTGCTTATCTGTACCTCTTGAGGTTTTAAGATGTACTGTCATCTGAGACACATACAAAGACGTATTACACTTGCAATAGTCTTTTATTCTTCCTACTACAAGGATATAAAATCTTCTCAAGTTAATGAAAGGACTTCTAGTGAGTTTAGTTGTACTGGACTGATGCTGTAAATCTTATTTACTGGAGCATTAAAATTTCACAAGATTGATATAACATGTGGATGAGAAAAAAATATACAAATAGTTAGCAAATGCAAAAATAAACCAGTTTTACAGAAAAATGCATTGCTTATAGGAGAATGAAAGATACCATTGGCTCCTGAAGGCCTTGGAGAAAACCAGAATTTGAATGGCATTAGAGAACTAAGTTGAGAAAATGCCAGACAAATTCCTAACAGTCACATATGCACCAGAAAACACTAAGAAATCTCCTGGTGAAATGGAAAGCCAGAGATGTTCTCAACGTCCATTCTCTAAAACCAGAAAATTCCTTGCACATAGTTTCAGTTTTGAAACAATTACTTTAGAATAAAATATATTTGGTTAAAATTTCCAGACTACCTTTGTTTTGTAGCACTCCTCCAACAGAATATATATTAAAAAAAAAAAAAAAAAAAAAAGATTTGAAGAGCAAATCTGGGAGCAATTATATTTCAGGATAAATCTTTCAATTATTTTTTGTCATTGTTAATCCCTCTGGGTTGCTTTTGCTCATGAGACTTCATGCCAACAAAAGTGCTTTAAAAAAATAATACAAGAACTGTTAATTTTCAGAGAAAAGTATAATAAAGATAACTATGATAATAAAGGAAAAAAGGTGGAGCTACCAGTCCCACCATCTCTGCTGTTGTCTAGAATCTGGAAAGTGTAGCTGCCCATCAGGCAGCCAAATAAAGGGTAATCCCACACTCAGTGGAAAATGCGTTGCCCACCTCAGGCAAAACAAGATGACTCATTGATACAGTTTGAAATTCTCAGCTTCCCTAGTGCTTTCATTTCAGAGTGAAGGTTATTTATACAGTTATTTTTCTAGCATTACATATGGATAATGAGAATTCCTCTTACTTAACTGTACCTTTCAAAGGACAGAGAAGTAATTTTCTCACAAACATGCAGCAATAACTCTTTGGCCTGACGTTTACTTTTTTTCATCTCAGCTGGCATGAAGAACTGTGATTTTTAAACAACTTTTTGTTTTACTGGGCAGTGCACCAAGGATTCAGTCAGTCCAGAGAGGGACTGAGTACCAAAAAACAGAACACCTACATTCAGGCACTTGGACCTGAACTGGAAATCAGACCCAATGGTGAATGTCCTCGCAAGGCGCTTCAGCGCACTTTCCAAAGCAGCTCTCACTCTCAGCGGGGAGCCTTGTGGACAAGCCATTAAGAAATGTTACAAAGGCAGATATAACAGAAGTCATGTGCCTTTCTGGGGCACCTCATTTGGTGCTCAAGGGCATCTTGCAACTCTGGAATCACAGCTCAGACTCTCCCTGGAAAAGTATGTACCTTTCAAGTCCCTACTGTTGGAGATTTTTTTTTTTTTTTCTTTCAAAACACATCTAGCAGGGGCACTAACTTGAGATTACCACTCAACTATACTTCTGCTCAATTTCCTCTTTCTTCTTATGAGGTGTCAGTCCACATGTTTCACTTCTAGAGACTACCATAATACTACATGGTCTGGGGAAAAACTGGACATTTCTTACACCTTAACCACTAGCATAATAAATCGTGCTTTCATCTGCTGGTCATCTGTTTCTAATTATTTCCTATATAGAGAGACATGAACATGCCATCTTCACACTTGCAAACAGTCCATAATTTGGTGATTTTAAAAAGGTCCTAAAGAAGAGATGGAAGTTTGATTCTCTTCCTGCAGCCAGTTCAAGTGATAACATACTGTGCATGTAGACTAATGCTGAGCATCAGCATGGAGATCAAATACGTGTGGCAAGTCTCTTATGCAGAGACATAGTGACATTTCTTTAGGAATCACACTAAAAAATACTGAGCACGGATGGCAGACTAGGAAACCTCCACATCTAGTCAGTAAAATATATAAAGTTATTGAAAACATTGTTTTCAACAGTGCTTAAAAAGACAGACTGACATACTATGTTAAGTAATCTTGAGCCAGGCCATGCAGAGTCTAAATGGCATTTAGGAAACTCTTTGGACAGGGAGAGCTGATCCTGTCTGCACTAGACCCAACATTAATTCAAGATACAAAAAAGGGAGAATTAAGTAGAATCTGTGAAATTATTAAAATTTCCATTGTTTATATTCATAGTTGCTGATAAAGTCTCAAACGCTTGTTATCTCATGCTTAGACCTTTCATCAGTCATAGCAAAAATGAGCCATACCCCTGAAGTCTGTCTGTAAAACTAAAATTACAGGTTGGAAATGATATCTATATTTATTACAGCTGTGTTTATATCTACGTGCACCATAAAGCCAAAAAGTTTAGATTTTTAGAAAGTGTTCCTCATGCCATTACTGCTGAAGCATATTCAAATAAAACAAGTGAACTTAAAGCATGTTACTAAATTTATCTACAAACTTCAAGTCAGTGTATCGTGTATGCATAAAAAAGACATATGAAATGTTATTTTTCTTTGTTATACAATAGTTTACAAATGTTTATCAATGTTATACACAGAGAGATGTACACCAAAGATACGCAAGCATGACTCACCATGGTTTTTTTCTTCTCTTTCTAAATACAGGTTTGTAAACTGAATTTAAGTAGGCTTTTTTCTTACTTTTTTTTTTTTTTTTTCACACAGTGGTTTCTTTCCAAACAGACATTCCTTTTTAACAATAAGAATTGCCAAAGATAAAAAATCCTCATTATTTAACACAATATTAGAGCAGCCTTGCTGAACTGGACTATCGTCAATGCTTTAAACATTCTAATTCAAATAGCATAGAAAATGTGAAAACCTTTAATCTTCTTGAAAATTTCTGCAGAAATGAAGGTTTCATGGAGAGTAGAATTGCATTCTGGAGCTTATTTTTGATAGAGAATTCTTAAACTCATCCACAGGTTTCATGAGGATTTCCTTAAATGTCACTGTCACTTATCCACAAGATGCTTTTCTGAGATCAGTTAAAAGGCTTTACCTCAAATGCTTGAAAGGTTAATCCTACATTGTAGTTTTCTGACACTGTTATCTTCCACACACATTCCTTCATTGGTCTGTAGTCATCAGGATAATTGGGAGACTGGATCTGGCCTTCATTTTTGTGGATTTCACCTCCACAGATAGCTGATAAAAGCATAAAATTCTTATTGTCAATGACATTGTTCCCCATGCCCAAACTGACATTTTATTCTCCCCTTTTTAAAACTAATGATAAGATTATTCTGGAGAAGATTTTATAAGTCCACCAAGGACAAATTATTGAAAATACAATCCATTTAAAACACTACGTGTATTGCAATTATAATATATACAGCATTTCTAATAGCTCTAAACATGTTTATAATGTTCAGGAAGAATTTGGAATGATGAATAATCTGAATCTATACATTTTACAGAATATTTCTGAAAGGTAAAAAAAAATTTAATTTTACTTCTTTTTTCACCTTTGAAATATTTAATAAACATTCTTCATTAATATTTACCATTCTTTAGAGAAAAATGAGACAGAAATCTCAACTTTTATTATGATCTAGGCATTTTAACCTACAGTTTATCACTTCAAGCTTACACCGAATTTGAAGAAGCAGCTAACATAAATAAAAAATATTTTCATTAAAAGTATATGCACTTTTCAGAGAACATACTGATAATCATGTAAAGATATGTAAATATCAACTAAATCACACAGCTTACTACCATATATTCAATATTTAAGAAAACAGGCTCTATTTTAAACAGGTGAATGTTGATTTGCTAATATACTCAGTGTGTGGGAGTGTCTCTAAGTAATTGCAGAGCATATGGAAAACTGAAGTCAGATTTTTCTGAAGAATAAACAGAAAGTACTCAAAAAAAAAAAAAATCTTTCCACACATAAAGCACACAAACATGCACATTTAGTTAATTAAACAACTGGTAGGAAATGCTTATTGAGTATTATTAGTGGTGTCCCCAGAAAAAAGGTCATCCGAAATCTGATCACAGGAAGAATGTCCAGTAATTTAAAACTTACTGTCTCTTTTAGTAATAAAATACCAATTTCATATTAGATTATTTCTGACTTTCTTTAAAAAAAAAAAATCCAGAAGTATCCAGTTAGTATTTTTCCTCCATAATCAAGTAATTTTTAATGCTCTAAGAGGCTTACCTTCATAAATTGCTGCAAAACCTTTCCCAACCCAGTTGCTGCTGCTGCGGAACTCGATCCACATCCTGCTGTCTGAGGACGCAAGGACTTCTGGCAGTTTGTCACCACAAAACCTGCCTAAAAACATGCAACCAGTAACTGCATTTTCTGCTGCCTCTGAAGCCAAATGCTGCAAACATTTATACAAGTGTTTAACTTTATAAACAGTACTAGCATAACCAACTCAGTGGGACTATTCACACGCTTATGGTTAAGCACATGTATTCCTGCAGATAATAAAATAATACACAAAGATTTTATTATAAAGCTTTCAGTACTACTTTTCATTGCAGTCAGGCTCACAAGCCTAAGTATAAAACAGGGGAATTAAGTAGAAAAAATATTGTTATAAATTGTGTCTATACATGCAAACCCAGACATTTTGGAGGAGGAAAGCAAATACTAATCTTAAAATGGGAATGTAATCTAGGTCACAGTAATTCTGCTCATCGTGTCTAAGGACCAAAGAGATTTAAAGACTAACATCCAAATGACCCTGGACTGTATTATCCTCTTAAATGCAGCCTAGGTAGGTAAAATTTCTGTTTGTCTAGGTGATAGAGAAGGGAGCAGGAGAGAAGGGTAATTACTGTCTGATCTTAATTGTGGGTTTTTTTTTTTTGGTTGTGGGTTTGGGTTTTTTTTAAGGCCAAGAAAATAGGCACCATTGTTAAAAAGCTGTCGTCTGTATCTGCTTCCTTTTCTTTCTTTATTGGTGTTTTTAAATCGTGGCTGTTGGGACGCTAACAAATAGTTTTAGTCTTCTTTCTAAAAACAACAACAAAACTGACACAAGAAGTCAGAGATGTTCATTTTCCCTATGATCTGAAATCCCCAGTTTCAATCAGAGATCATGGGAAGAAGTCAAACAGAGACTCTGGATTGGGCAGTGGCATTATGGGGTATGAAATATCTGCACTAACCCTCTGAATTAAGAAAACAATGGCTGCAGATTCCTGTAAATTAGTTGCAACTCTAAGACTTAATTCATTATTGCTTTGCATGTCTTTTCTCTGCAAGAGCAAGGCAGGACATACAAAGAAGAAATAGAAGTAATCTTCTGTGCATAATTTAAAAAGGACAGGAACAGAGCTCACAAGTACAACTCTACAGTGGGTGCTCTCGACCACAGGGCATGTGCTCATCATGTGCTCTATGGATTTTCCATCACTTGCTCTACAGATTTGTCTGTAAACTATTTCCTCATTTCTCAGAATAAAACTATGGCAATTCCACATTTCAATACCCATAAGCAAAGCAATATTTTTTGCACATTTTGTAGTTTTCATCTTTCCACACATACAGCTGAATAAGTTAACTGTAATCAAAGGAAGGCTTGAGGCTTGTAGTCAAATAAATTACTCATTTGAGGCCATTTGGAGTTTTTTCCCAGCACCAAGTTCAGATACATTCTAGACACCTAAAAACCAAGAGGTTTGCTGTGAATTCAACAGCAAGTCAGTCCACTGAACTCAGTGAGTATGGCAACTATGGACAATGCAGGATTCAAAAGTTGCATACCAAGCAGAGGTGATTTTCTCCAGTAGCCATCTCTTACTTCAATATAGTCGTACCAACAGAGACTGCTCTTGTAAAGGTCCATGGTGGTAAAATTTAAAACAATCTGCAATCAGAGGAGAACACCTTATTAAATCATGTGTGGTTAATAATAGAAAATGATCACAACAATATTCTGCAGAACTGAAGCCAGAGTGGTCACCTGTAACAGAATTCCAACTACTGAGACAGTTATTCTCTCCTCAATTATTTTTTATAGTAAGTAAAAGTTGTTTGGGAACAATAGAAGTTTTTTATTTCACCTTACATTTTTGAGCAGATTCAAGACAGACTCACATTTAATTGCTTACAGGGAACTTTTCACTGAAAAATGAAAATCTGAGAACGCTAATAAGGTAAAATGATGTGCTGATATAACTTTAAGTATGTTATTTGATAATTTTGCTGCCAATTCCCCTTCCATTCTATTCTGACTATAATCAGCACTGACAGCTGTAAAAAAAAAAAAGTTTTATTTTGGTGTTTCCTTCTACTGTTTTGACAAGGTAAATTACTTTCAGACAAGTTAAATATTGACAATGGTGGACAGTAATACTGAACACAATATCACTAAAACAAATGGTACATAGTCCCTTAATGACTCTTAGTGAAACTATAATAAAGGTTTTTATACCAAAATCTAAGTTCTGTACATTTTGAACTCAGATTTCCAATTTTACTGAGCAGATCTGTAAATAGTCGTATTTTCAATACTTAATATCAGAAGTAACTGAGACCATTACATTATCCCACTTTGGCTTAGAAATACTAATCCTAAACAGCCACAAACTTACACTTTTAACACAGAAATAGGATTCATCCTGGATCACAGGATGGACACAATAGCTACAGTTTGGACTGACTGGAACAGTCTTAGCGTCATGAACTGCAATTTCAGGGAAAAGTCCAAACAAGATTAAAAATCACCCATATTTTGTATTATAAAAGTATTTCCAATTCATACCCTTTCACTGGATTTAGATGTATTTGGGAAAATAATTCATCTTCTTCCAAATCAGTTCCCCAGTGTGGATTAATAAATACTTCAACCTAACTAAAAATATTTATTGACATATGAGCATAGAAGTGGTTTTATTTTTAGCTTTGATCCTAGGAACTCACAATCGAAACCTGTTATTATAAAGTAAACATGAACTGCTACATGGTAGCAAATACCTCACACTGCAAAAATATATCTCCATGGCAGCCTATGAAGCAGCTGTGAGTGTCAGCTGAAAGTAGAGGAATTTACCCTTAGTCCAGCTGTAGGGAGGAAACAGAACACCATAACTAGAAGAATAGGCTCAGATAGCCAGATGGGATTGTTTTACTTCCATCTCCTCTGAAGGCACCACTACATAGTACATATTAGACCAGAAAGGTAGAACGTTTTCAGACAGTTTACTTTTAAGAAGATAAAAACTATTAGCTATTGGAGGAAGATAAATCAAAGATAACATAAAGCTCAATGGTTTGAATGTGTAGGTGGTAGAGTGTCACGGTAAGACCGTTCTCCAAGCAATGCAAACTGGAGACAACCTTTCATAGCAAAACACTATGTATCTTAACATTAGGCTAGCAGGGATTTTGCTTTCACTTTCCACAAAAAATAACTAAGTACGTCCATGCGAACAATTACATTCTTAGAAATCCGTTTTCAGTGGAGAATGGTAAAAATTCAGACAATCTTAAAAGCTGTTTCTTCCCTTATGCCCTAGCGCTCACACTACTGACTGTCTGGGTGGAAGACCAAGCCCACAGGTGATTCTATTCAGCTTTCACCTTTACTACCATGATGCCATGGGAAACCAAAAACATCTGTAAGGCCACACATAAAACCAGATGTCCTGTACAGTGAGGAACATTATGCTGGTAGGCACAGCCTTGTGGGATGAAGGTATGGGACATGAAGCATGCCAAGAACCATCAGGATAGCACTGAATAAACGAATACCTGGCCAAACATTTATATCCACAAGCTGCTACCACATCCACAGAACCTGAAAAAGGGTTGCTTAAGCAGCAGTCTTTCTCTAGCACTGTGTTCTCCATGGGAACATCCTGCAAACAGGTTTGGTATGTTTTTAGGGTAGCAGATGCAACAAATATAGCCTGCCCTCTCTCTTTTGTCCTCTTCCTTCTGTCATTTTAGGGCCACAAGGGAAGGTAATAATTTTGTCTCAGATCGATAGGCAAAGAATGTCTCCTTCAATGTTAGTCTGATACGTTAGAAATATATTTAGGTAACATTAATTCATGTCCAGGCTGCCATTGGCACTCTGAATCATAAAGACCTATAGCAATCAAATAATATTGTAGGCTTTGTTCCTGAGGTCAGAGGTGAAAATGGACTAATCTAAAATCAGACACAATTGCTGTGCAATCCCTTCTCTTTGTTGCAATAGAAAGTATAGAAGAAATTGATGTATTTAAGGAAAACGTTCTTATACTGAGACGTTTGCAGCAATAGATATTCTAATATCTTGAAATATTTTTCAGTATCGATACCCTTTCCGTGAACTTCGAAAAACAAAGCAAATTGAGTCCTAATTAAAAAAAACAGTCACAATTATTATCTTGTATTAGATAGATAGTGGATATGTTCATAAGCATAGAATTCATAAGGATAATTAAATGCTCACCCATTTAATCGTTCACTGAATTAGAATAAAGAGGTTTTATATAGAAAATATCACAAATCAGTGTTTTTAAAGCTAGAGAAGGTAGGGAATTG